TTTGCAAATGCAAAACAGTACCTTTTAAAGACAACGACACAATTTAAATAATTCATTATTACGCAACAAAATTAAAATAAATTGTAGTTTGTTCCTAAAATAGCTGATGATACAAAGTAATTACTACATGTACGCTCCTTCCCCTTCTCTCTCTCCCTTTATTCTGCTTAGACTATTCAGTGAGTCAACAAAATCAGGCCATTCTTGAATTTCTTGTACAGGGTCATAAAACCACAAGCAGCTATCAATAGACCACAAAATATGAGATACAGTGTCGGACTGAAATGATCAGCTATCATAATAGAAATAGAAATATAAATCAATAATAATCTATTTATAATACATGTTACTTACTGCTTGGTACTATTAGACAAATGAACAGCATTGATAACCTGAGGAGAGACCAGGGAGAGTAAAGGAAGATGACAAGAGAATACAAATACCAAATAACACACAAACACTGTGTAAAGAAGTACAGGTACAGCAACAATTATTGAAAGAAGCAAATTGACAAATGGACACAATAGGAAATATATCTACTGTATATATCAAGTTGTAAAGGTACAAATGTACATTTACAATGAAATTTAGATACCATTATTCCTTCTAAATACTGACCTCACTAAGACTTCTATTAATTTTTATACATGTACATGTACATGTACGTGTATATACACTCATAATGACCATAGGAGATGAAATGGCTTCCTTCTATTGTAAAAAAATTACAAAAAATGAAGGCTAAAAATATAGTGAAAATATAGTTATTATGAAATGTAAGACACAACATTGATCATTTTATACAACATTAAATTCCTATGAAGAAATTTCTTTAAAGGAACTTTTAAAAATTAAAAAAAATCCAAATTTGATTAACTTAGTACACAAGATAAGTACATGTATACAGCCATATGTATCACAAATGATATAAAAATGGAGAATTCTTTCCTTTTCAATTTTGTTTGTACTACATACAGTACAGAGATTTTGGCCCAATTTTCGAGCAAATTAAAAAATTCATAAAAAATAAATTTCGATCGGAATCAGCTCAAACTTACTACACAACATAAAAACATGTATATGTAATTATGTATTAGGAAAAAAAGATAAAAATGAAGAATTCTTTCCTTTTCAATTTTAACAAAATTTAGCCTGAGACCATATACTGTATATGTACAAGGACTTTGGCCCAATTTTTGAGCAACTTTAAAAATTCAAGTTTGATCAATATTCCTCAATTTTTGTAACAACTCTCTTGTAGCCATTTTTGGTAAAATACCCTGTACTATAGTCCATAGTCTTAGACCCAGTTTTTGAGCCATTTTGTAGCTATTACCTCAATTTAAGGTGTTTCTCCAGTTGGTCAATGAGTGATTGTCCCTCCACTTTACCCCAATCTCCAGTATCCGTTACACTCTTCCACAGCAGTGTCACTATAATTTTATACTTCTATTAATGTGAAGGATTCTAGAACCTCCTGAATATGATCAATGATAATAGAGGACTCTGTCTCATTCTCATCTATTAATAATAATAATAAATCACAACAACAACAACAACAACACATGTGTACCATGTAGCGCTTTAATTTTGTGGAGCTAAAATTTCCCGGATTGATAAAAATCAATTTTTTGAGAAAAAAATTTTCTGGATTTTGCAATGTTAGTGCCACACCTTTAATGGCAATTGAAATCATAGCAGATCTTTAATTTCGCGGATGCATGCTAACCTGCAAAAAAGCGAGTTTATCACTTCGAAAATAAAGCGCTATATGGTAATATTAATAATAATGTACCAGTTTCTTCCTTTAGCTTTTTCCCTATTTTAATATTTTTGTTGAGCTTTTCTAAATGTCCCCAGTTCATTGAGACCAGCATCAGTGAACTGTTCCTCAAAATTATCCTCAGTCCTT